GGCTCGCCCTTACTATCATTGCATCCTATATATGCACCCCACTGCAAAATCCCTCATGGAGAGGACTCCCCTCCAAAAGGTAAAAGGCAAACACACAAAAGCACACAGAAACACACACATATACACACATACAAACACCAGCACCCTACTTTATCCACCCCCAGGCCTTCCCTTTCTTCCATAATTCAGAGAAAAGGTTCCTATAGGGCTTCTCAGGCTGCATATGCACTGGAGAAATAATGCAGTCTGACGCTGCTTTAACTGCCATGGTTGCATGCTGTGGAATCCTGGGATTTATAGTTTGTTGGGGCACCAGAGCTCTCTGACAGAGAAGGCTTAATCTCTCACAAAACTACAAATCCCATAGCATTGACCGCTTCTGCAACCTTGCCCTGAATGTGATGTTCTGCATCCAACCGCTTCCATAGTAGCATTATAGATTCTCATAACATCACCCGCAAAATCAGAGGTACTTTTAATTGCTCATCTGACAGTGTGATATTTGTCATCCTCTGTCAACAGCATTGGATGAACAGGGCAGACTCTACGCAAGAAGACACAAATATGACATTAGAATGGAAGCACCCCAAAACTAGTGTCAAAAGATTTTAGTCTCCTTAGACATAGCATCAATGACCTTCAGGTAGCTGTTCTGGAACAAAAAACAATTTCAAGGGAAGATTGGAAAGAGAAACAGCTGAACTGAGATATCTTCATAAATTCCAATCCATTAGCAGAGGTATCAACAGAGATAATGCTTTCTTGGCACACCAGATACATTAGTATGCTAGTCATCACAACTGCACATGCAACAAAAGGACCCTCCGCAGAAAAGTTTCTGACCTCCAGAAAATTGGATGAGCAGAATATATTGCTCAAGACTAACAGACCAGCTGCTTGACAGATCTGAAGGGGGCTTTCTTTTCCCTGTAACCCTAAGAGAAATTAGAAAACCAGGCCTGGGGAATCAAGGATCCAACTTTGTTTAGGGAAAGAAATGCATTTCTGTCTCCCATCCTGATAGACAGACCAAAACCCGAAGGAGAAGGGGAGCTTGTACACTGTAATATAGTTTGTCAAGTTTGCCAAGTCACTATTGCAAAGTGCATGCACTGAGAAAATGCCATGAAACCAATGGATCTGATAGAAGTCAAAACTTCTAGGTATCAGTTGGTTATATATATAAGGTAGACAACAATTCCTGAGTCTTTGCTATATAAACTATTCCCCGTTCCCTTAGCACCTGAGACAATGGGATATACAGTCAGACCTCTGTGTCCATGGATTCTTTATCCACAGATTCAACCATCCATGGCTTGAAAATATATATCTTTCCTCCTGCCTTTGTCCCTCAATGACCATAGTTAAACAGGCTTGCCCAGTTTTCTGGACTGGCAAGGAGATAGATGGGGCTGGTGTGCCAATCCAGCAAAAGATTAGAGGTGCTGAAATGCCCCTCTCCATCCATTGGACTGAAGTTGCCAAAGATGTGTCTCCTTCTTGACCCTAGGAGGGCTACTGAGCCCCATCCCCATGAGCTGGTCCTTTGTGTAGTCACAATATTAGAAGGATAATCTCAGAGATCCCTGTGCATTAAATCTCCTTGAGGCTGGCTGAGCTGCGTCTGAAGCCAAAAGACTTTAATTTCCCAGATTACGGAAAGTATCCAGGGCTAGTTCCTTTGGCTCTGCTCTGAAGAACTCTGGATGGAACCATGCAAAAGGCCTTTGACGCTCGGTGAAAGGAGACAGGGCTTCCATCACTTTCAGAAGGACGATAGAAGTCTAGTGTCTAGTCTAGATCGAGGGAAGTAATAGTGGCACTCTATTCTGCTTTGGTCAGATCTCCCCTGGAATATTGTGTCCAGTTGTGGGCAAGACAATTCAAGAAGGATGCTGGGAAGCTGGAGCGTGTCCAGAGGAGGGTGGCCAAAATGGTGACGGGTCTGGAAACCATGAAGCCCTATGAGGGAGCTGGGTAGGTTTAGCCTGGAGAAGTGAAGGAGGATTCCCTCCCCTTCTGAATTGACATATCCAGATCCAGCTCTCTAGTTGCTCAGTGTTTTATTCCGAAGCTGCCTTTTTTGCAGAGGGCTTGCTGTATGAAATGCTACCTCCTCCTCTGCTGCTTTTACTATGCAAAGAGGAGAGACAGCAAAGCTGCCTCCCCTGCAATTGCAAGAAGAAAAGAAGTGCTCACCTCCTCATCCCAGTGCTCTCTCTTTTCAGGCATCTTGGCAACAGCGTGTGTATTTCTGGGTTTTGCTACGTTCTCTCCTTCCTTCCTTCCTTCCTTCCTTCCTTCCTTCCTTCCTTGCCTATGGGGGCCTGGGGGTGGCTCAGTGACAAGTTACATAGGAGTAGGTGGAACGCTAGGGCTGTGCTTTGGAAGAGGCAGAACTTGAAATGTTCCTTCTTTGCTCTTACAAAATTCCAGAACCAAACCAAGGCAGATGATGCCTTCCTTCAGCAACCCTTTTGTTGCTGCTGTTGTTGTACAC